TCCTCTAGGGCGAATGTCCTCTCATGGAGGTTCTACTGTATTTAGGATTAAGTTTCAACAATAGCTCCCTTATATATACAAACATGGCCACATTCGTCTAATGAGAAGACGGGAGAGATTGGTTCACTAACAAACAACATTCTCCCCACTAAAAACTGAGATAAGATAAAAGCGCAAATGTTTGTCAATATAATTTGACAATTGTACGTATTACATCCCAAACACGACGCCATCATCTCTGTCTTGAGCTCAATGTACAATCTCGGCGACCGTTAAGCCAGCGAGTTCCTGTAATCTCTAAATCACTAGCTATAAAGTGTAAGTAAGAATGACTTCTTCTGACCACAACTGAGTGAATTAACAAATTAATTAATTCCTAAGACTTTATATTCCGACTATAAACAACCCTTGATCCATCCATGTATAAAACTGGTGTCTGATAATTATGAATATTTCTGTCAATTTTATAAATTTCATTATCTCAATATTGATTGTGATTAGCTTTTGCTTTTTTACCTTCATTTGCGGTTAATCCGCGGTAAATCCATGTATAATAAATTTCTTTTTCTCCAATTTACCCAGACTAATCTATTAGCTTGATTGTCTTTATATATTTTTCCTGTATATAAATATCATATTACCACTAAGGTACTATTACTGTTGTTCCTGCATGTATCCTACATTTCTGCTTGGAGAATCTGTATTAAGACTAAAAGGTCTTAATAAAGCTTTTTGTTGTTGTTGTATATTTCTGTCAATTCAACTAATTATTGTTATTTATGGGAAAAGAACATATTCTCGAATGCTTGTATATAAGTTTATGCTAAGCCCTTCCTTTCTTTTTCCTTTATTTGAAACACTGTAAATAACATTGCTGATTACTGGTACCATTACTGTTATTCCTGTATGTACCCTACATCTCTGTGCTTGTAGAATCTGTATAAGACTAAAAGGTCTTAATAAAGCTTTTTGTTGTTGTTGTTTATAAAGGGTAAAATGGGACTTAGAATGATTTCTATAAGAATTAGAATGAAGAATGGAGAAAAGAATGAGAATCATTGAAGATGGATCTGCTGACACAGAATAGGAATGTTGGAAGACTTCGTAATATCCAGCACTGAATCAATTCAAAAAGAAAAATAAAAACTCTGTGACATAAGGGAGTAATTTGACTAAGAAAACACTTTGATTTCCAGACTTGTCATCTACGGACAATGACTTTCCAGAATGGTTGCAAGGTTTTCCCACTATGTACTAAGTGTCAACCTGTAACCTCAAAACACATTATTGACTATATTGACTCATCCATTGATGAGCTCTACTTATCCCCAGCAGACACCATCAACAAGCTTTACAAGCTTTATACCCTGATATGATTGAGTGGAAATAAGAAAGAAGAAGTCGGTCTGCTACTGAGTAGTGCTCCCAGTCTTAATGACAAAGGCAGACGCATTCTACCTCACCCACACCATCAGAAGTCTCAAGCTCTACAAGCTTAATATCTTAATATGATTAAGTGGATATAAGAAAGAGAAGAAGATTTGCCTAAGACGATAGGACATGACCAAACATATTATCTGAATCAATCCAAATTTCTACCATTATTTAATAAAAAAAACTTACGACAAAAACAATAATATTCTCAAGAATTTTAAAAAATCATAAATATAATTACTACAATTAATACTATATTCGAATAAAATCAAAAAGAAATGATAATCTACAAAATAAAGTAGTACAAGTTAACAATAAAAAAAAAAAATGTATCTCCCAGAAAAACCTCTCAAACACAAGGTGTGGGAAGAGGGCTTCCCTCCTAAAGAAACAAACACTCGACAAAATAAAAGACTACCAAGTGGGAAGACCATAAGGTGAAGTGGCTATAAACAGATTAGCGTCCTTTGACAATGTGTTTTCTTTGAGAGGGGATTTTACGGTATCAAGAGAGAGGGAGGGGGATTTGACACAAAAGATGGGGGGCCCGTGTTTGCCACCCCGGTGGTGGTGCTCCAGATCGGGGTAGGAATGATGGCGCCATCGTAAAACAAACAGTTCAGATAATTAGAGGGGTCTGTAGTATGCGACATGATGGATCATTGTCCTGTCCGTCGCGTTTGTTGTTAGAGATGCCTTCTAACATAACTACACTACAGAAGATACAGATTGCGATATTTCTCTTAAAATAGAGATTTGATATTTTAAAATATTTTATTGATATCATACACAAGTCAATGGTGGTATTATAAAATAATCATAAAAAGAGGGATATATGAAAAGATAAAAGAGTAAATTATATACATTAATGTAAAGTCCAGGAGACAAAGAGAGGCCTCCTCCAGACAGTAAGTTCTCCCCTCATCTCAAGACTCAGAAAGAACCTGTGAATTGATGACTTGGCAGTCACCAGGATGGCGAGGTCGTCGTCTTTATAAATTGACACTTCGACCAGTTAAAAGCTTAATTTTCTCAATATTTTCAACAAAAAACTTTTGTCTTCGTCAGGAGAAATAAGAGAGATGTTTATAACCCAGGGAGAACAGAACGCTATACCCGGGGAGTCCAGCTAACCAGTATAGACTAGTGTTGAACGCTTTTACTTGCGTCCTGTTTTGATTGCTGAGTTGAACCAGTTGACCAGGAATTTCTATGCTGAGGTTGAGTTTGGAAGTCTGGCCATAGATCTAGGATTGAGGTAGGTCAATCCAAAGCAGGATTAAAGCATTTGGCAAAGCGTTAAAAATTGTTCTGAGTTTGCAAAGGCGTTCTCACGCGATTTTTCAAATTTAGTACAACATCTAAAACACAAGTCAAAAACAAATATTAAACTCTTCAAAGACTATGATCTTGGAAAAATAAATATATATAATAATTAAATAATAATCAAATATAAATAAAATAATGATAATAATCATAAAGATTTCATATTATTTTATAAATTTCTAACTATTATGTACAATTTATATCTAGCTTTTAAACTACTTTTTAAATTCAAAAATGAAGATAATTGTTTTGGAAAATCTTCAAATGAACAATTACCGAAATTGAATGTCAACCATTGTTGAACCAATATTCTTATTTGTAAAAAGAATTGCTTGTTTCTAACTGATTTTATATAAGTTTATGATAATCCCTTCCTTTCTTTTTTGCCTCTTATTTGATACACTGTAAATAATATTGTTGATTACTGGTACTATTACTGTTATTCATGTATGTACCCTACATTTCTGTGTGCTTGGAGAATCTATACAAGATTTTTTACCTTCATTTGTGGTGAATCCGCGGTAAATCCATGTATAATAAATGTCCTCCAATTTACCCAGACTAATCTATTAGCTTGATTGTCTTTATATATTTTTCCTGTATATAAATATCATATTACCATTAAGGTACTATTACTGTTTTTCCTGCATGTATCCTACATTTCTGCTTGGAGAATCTGTATAAGACTAAAAGGTCTTAATAAATATTTTTGTTGTTGTTGTATATTTCTGTCAATTCTACTAATTATTGTTATTTATGGGAAAATAACATATTCTCGAATGATTTTATATAAGTTTATGCTAAAACTTCCCTGTCTTCTTTCATCTTATTTGATACATTATAAATAACATTGCTGATTACTGGTCCTATTACTGTTATTCCTGTATGTATCCTACATTTCTGTGTGCTTGTAGAATCTGTATAAGACTAAAAGGTCTTAATAATGCTTTTTGTTGTTGTATATTCGTATTTGTCTTGTTAAATGGGTTTTTTTTACTATAATATATTGTTGCAAAGTATTTATTTTATATACCGGCCAAAGCCAGAATGGAAATATTGATGAAATACTCAATGAAAGCAGAAATTAAATTAGGAAATGGTGGAAGATTACAAATTTTTCAAAAGTTCCTTTCAAGAGAGATGAAGTTTAAATGCAGATACACCTATCCCCCGATTTACACGGTAGATACGTTCCTGAGAAAAACGTGTAAATCGGGGGATAGGTGTACACAGAAATAAAAATAAAATGCATTGACAGGTTAAAATATGTAGTCAGCACATAAGCTCGGGATTCCTCGTGAGATGTGTACACAGCGCATGTGTTCAATCACAGTAGCATTTAGTATAGTGCGATAAAAACAAAAAAAAAACTTATTTGGAAAACCGTGTAAAAGCGAAAACGTGTAAAACAAGTACCGTGTAAATCGGGGGATAGGTGTATTTGAATAAACGCTCACCAATGCTACAGATTAGTAATTTTAGATATTTTATTATTTATAATTTGCCATTCTGGAAATTTCCCCATATTGCTTAACTTGTATCTTATAAATGTTGATTTTGTTTTTGCCTTAAATAAATTGCTGTGTCATCCTGAACTTTGTCTTTTCTTATTTTCTAGGTTACAATATTAATTACTCTTAGACAGAACTTAAGGAATTTTCATATTTTGATTATCGTTGGGCGTCTCTATATGCTACACTGAAGAATGGAATCTCAGAAATGAACAATAGTAAGGACAGTAGAAGTTTGTTTTATGTGTAAAAGATACATTCGTGCTTCAATGTTTTAATTCATATATATAGATAGCGTTATTGCTTTACTATTAATTATTTGTTAAAAAAAACACTTGTTGTAAAAGCGAAGATATACAACGTGTGATCAATAATTTCCAGGAATGAGATCACGTAAAATATTCAAAATAATGAAATAATTTTATAAGGACCTTATAGATAAAACATTTATCAACACGTAGAAATAAAAATTGATCACATAGACGCACGCGCTCACGTTTTATCGAATTTATAAGCTCGAATATATCAGAACATTTTCGAATTTCAGTATAGACTGTATTGAAAAACAGCGAGTCTGCATAGAGTTTTGCTTTAATTTATATATATATATGTTATATAAAATTATTTAATTCCGGAATTATAATTTATAGATCAAATTACTCTGTAAAGACGATCGTCAGATGTCGTGCTTTCCCTTTATAAACCCATTGTTGCTGTTTCCCGTTGGCCTCCCACGTTGTCTAGTGGCTAGGATATCTAGCTTTCACCCAGAAGGTTCGATTCCCAGCGTGGGAATTTTTCTGGTTAGCAGCCCCGTAAATAAAGATATTTCCGTTTCCCGTTGGCCGGCTCAAATCTTTCTGTAGATATGTAAATAAGTCTTTTATTTTGTTTATTCTTCACGCCTTAAGTAAGGTAGTACTTTCTTAATTATGTATTCTATACTTTATTAGTACAATTAAAGCCAATTGTGATTATAATATGCTTTATTATTTTACCACGACTTAAATTTAAATATTCATGTATACCAAACTCAAGAAAATGCTCAATTCTCTATATCAATCAGCAAGTAATAATTCTATAACTCTAATTCCAAAATCAACACAAAATATATTTTTTGTAATACATATATATTGGTAAAGAAAACATTCAAGACAAAGAGGATGAGTTTCTTTTTATGAACATGCGTTCGAGCTTTCGGGCATAATGTCGCCCTTCAACAGGAATAAAACTACAAATAGAATCAAGATACGTCTATATATATACAGGTGATTAGCATAAACAAGAAAACTATTATTTTTAGAGAGATAAAATTTAAGTTTTATGTATGATATACAAAACAGGAATCATGAGGGGCGTGGAGCCCGTAAGCTTGCAGCCCGTGCATTTCAATAAAAAATTTCTCTACTAATAGATTAAACCACATATTAACATAATTACATTTCTCCTATTACCTGTTTTGTATTGTAAATAGCTATAAAACGAAGAATTAAAGCTTACGGGCTCCACGCCCCTCATGATTCCTGTTTTGTATATCATACATAAAACTTAAATTTTATCTCTCTAAAAATAATAGTTTTCTTGTTTATGCTAATCACCTGTATATATATAGACGTATCTTGATTCTATTTGTAGTTTTATTCCTGTTGAAGGGCGACATTATGCCCGAAAGCTCGAACGCATGTTCATAAAAAGAAACTCATCCTCTTTGTCTTGAATGTTTTCTTTACCAAGTTACTCCAGAGGATTTTACCTTGTTTAAATACATATATATAAATAAAATCACTGAATGTAGTGATCCATGTAAATGAGGAAAGCGAAGACTAGAACGTGGCTGATTCAACACTCGTCTTTTCAGTGATACGCTAACCTAGGCACGGTGGATTCTGTGGCCACTGGACATGTGTCGGACCTGTAGGCTGTTGTCGGGTTCTATGCTGCCTGGAGTATAGGAGTTCTATCTATGCTTCCTTCCTGTGGTGAATCTGTATAAGACCGGTGGTCTTCGCTACCTGGAGTATAGGAGTTCTATCTATGCTTCCTTCCTGTGGTGAATCTGTATAAGACCGGTGGTCTTCGCTACCTGGAGTATAGGAGCTCCATCTATGCTTCCTTCCTGTGGTGAATCTGTATAAGACAGGTGGTCTTCGCTGACTGAAGTATAGGAGCTCCATCTATGCTTCCTTCCTGTGGTGAATCTGTATAAGACCGGTGGTCTTCGCTGACTGAAGTATAGGAGCTCCATCTATGCTTCCTTCCTGTGGTGAATCTGTATAAGACCGGTGGTCTTCGCTGACTGAAGTATAGGAGCTCCATCTATGCTTCCTTCCTGTGGTGAATCTGTATAAGACCGGTGGTCTTCGCTGACTGGAGTATAGAAGCTCCATCTATGCTTCCTTCCTGTGGTGAATCTGTATAAGACAGGTGGTCTTCGCTGACTGGAGTATAGAAGCTCCATCTATGCTTCCTTCCTGTGGTGAATCTGTATAAGACCGGTGGTCTTCGCTGACTGAAGTATAGGAGCTCCATCTATGCTTCCTTCCTGTGGTGAATCTGTATAAGACCGGTGGTCTTCGCTGACTGAAGTATAGGAGCTCCATCTATGCTTCCTTCCTGTGGTGAATCTGTATAAGACCGGTGGTCTTCGCTGACTGGAGTATAGAAGCTCCATCTATGCTTCCTTCCTGTGGTGAATCTGTATAAGACAGGTGGTCTTCGCTGACTGGAGTATAGAAGCTCCATCTATGCTTCCTTCCTGTGGTGAATCTGTATAAGACAGGTGGTCTTCGCTGACTGGAGTATAGAAGCTCCATCTATGCTTCCTTCCTGTGGTGAATCTGTATAAGACCTGTGGTCTTAATAAAGTTGTGTGTGTGTAAGAGAGAAGAAAGAATGATGTTAGGTAAGAAAAGGGGCTTGCTGGGGTTCGGCTGCAGGAATCTTTCATCACGTGATTGCGACATGGCCCACCCCCAAACTGCCTGCCAGCCAAGCTGACATAGGTCAGGTCATCCACATGTGAATGACACCGACTGAAAACCTCTTATTTCAAATTGACTGGGAAAAAACATCCAATTTGCTAATTGATAAGGCGTAATAGACGTCTAATCTAAAGATAGGAATCTTAAAATTGCATCTCATTACTCTCAAATATAAATTTATAGTTCTCCAAATTAAAGATACTTCGGCCAGTAAATCTTTTTTATTGTCTCGACGTATCGACAAAAATCTTTTGTCCTCGTTAGGAGCGAACAAAAATTAAAACATTTGGCAAAGCGTTAAAAATTATTCTAAGGCTTTGCCAAATGTTTTAATTTTTGTTCGCTCCTGAAGAAAACAAAAGATTTTTGTCGAAACGTCGAGACAATAAAAAAATATTTACTGGCCGAAGTATCTTCAATTTGAATAACTTTGAATGCCAGCCAGGAAACTTCTATCTTCACGAAGTTTATTGCTGTAATAATTATTTTTGACATAATACAAGATGAAAGCACAAATTTAACAGCTTACTACCATCTCATGATGGAATGCAGAGAAGAATTACTGGACGTTTCCTTTTGTTCCACAACTCTCAACTAACAATCAACTGATAAAACGTATTTCACATAAATGCATGTTAGTGTGCAAATACACACACGTAAACATCTATAAATATATGTTTAGAACGATATGTATGTGTGTAAATTATACCCATAATATACACCCATGGACAAAACTTATGGAAGTGGAAAGTGTTTGAAGCCGTTAGTCATCTGTCTTTTTGAAGAAAACGGAGGAAATTTTGTTCACACTTGGTTATCTCGTTTATCTTCAATAAAGGTCACTGTAATATCTTTCAGAATTATTGTCTGAATCCCGATATACATGTTAAAAGGTACAACTTCCTTAAGTTTTGTCCATGAGTGTATACACACTTGGTTATCTCGTGTGTCTTCAATAATGGTCACTGTAATATCTTTCAGAGTTATTGTCTGAATCCCGATATACATGCTAAAGGTACAACTTCCTTAAGTTTTGTCCATGAGTGTATACACACTTGGTTATCTCGTGTGTCTTCAATAAAGGTCACTGTAATATCTTTCAGAGTTATTGTCTGAATCCCGATATACATGCTGAAAGGTACAACTTCCTTAAGTTTTGTCCATGAGTGTATACACACTTGGCTATCTCGTGTGTATTCAATAAAGGTCACTAATATCTTTCAGAGTTATTGTCTGAATCCCGATATACATGCTGAAAGGTACAACTTCCTTAAGTTTTTTCCATGAGTGTATACACACTTGGCTATCTCGTGTGTCTTCAATAAAGGTCACTGTAATATCTTTCAGAGTTATTGTCTGAATCCCGATATACATGCTAAAAGGTACAACTTCTTTAAGTTTTGTCTATGAGTGTATACACACTTAGTTATCTCGTGTGTCTTCAATAAAGGTCACTGTAATATCTTTCAGAGTTATTGTCTGAATCCCGATATACATACTGAAAGGTACAACTTCCTTAAGGTTTGTCCATGAGTGTAATTCTGATTAGCCACTTTCACTTTTTCTCCTTCTCTTCAATACCAATAGTGTAGTCATAACCGACCTAGTCTGGTATAGGCACTTTCATTTTTCAATGGTTCAAATTGCCACATTTAACAAATCAAAAAGAATCAAAATACAAGATTCATTTAAAATTGTGTCTACTCTACCAAGACATGATTGACGATTATTTTAAAATAGGGAAAACATAGAAAAAATAAAGATTATGTAAATAAATACATATATTTACATATCTACATATATAGATATTATATCTTCTATAGTGTCTTGTATTTGCATATAGCCTGTTGAAGAAGGACGTCATAGTCCGAAAGCTTACTAATATTATACCGCATAAAGAATTTCGTTTCCGTTATCTTCTATTCTTTTCCCATAAAAATATTTGTTTAAAAACTTTTGATTTAAAAACAATCGCCAATCAGGTCTATGAACAATACACAATTCGAATATCAACCGAATCGAGTATAGAATTCAAAATCTCGTCTGCATCGCTAGCTAGCTGAGTTATGGTAGAATTCCACAAAAGTATGTTATTAGGTCGGCTGTTTTTATATCTCTTGAGATGTGTAAGGATTTATGAAGCATGTGGCAGCAAAGAGAGAGCTTGGATGTTTGTTTTGTCACCAAACGATGGCCATTAAATTCTGTCATCCCCCGCTAAATCTGTGGGATAAAAGGAAGCCCATAAAAATCATCGGCAGATCCTAGGCGATGTTTTATCGAAATTCCTATCAGGGCTAAGTGGGGGCCTCCGGAAAAAGAACGAAGGATAACGACATGCCCTGAGGCAAGTTTGGAGTGAAGAATGCCAAAAATTCAATTATGTGGAGTATGGCCGCCCACACCGCAGAACAGATCGGTCCTTGTTTTCCGGACAGATAGGACGAGCTCTCGGCCACAATGGCCTACCGATAGTGTGTATGTGCATCCATCTATACTTCCTTCTACCCACCCCCTCCCCATCTTGTCAATGGTGAACAACTGGTATATAACATCTTATTATACAAATCTTTTCAGGTTTCTCTTTTTCAATTTTGATGTTTTTGATATTTATTCTTCTATATTTTTGAAAATAGAGTAATCCATAAATAAATCTTTAATTAAAAAGACATATATTGGATCAAAATATCATTTTATTTTACCAATATTTCAGTTGGCTGAACGCCAACCTTTATCAAGGTATTGTTGACACACACATTAATATGTTATATTACCTTGATAAAGGTTGGCGTTCAGTCAACTGAAATATTGGTA